TCCGCGGACTTCAAGTATTAAATCACAAGAAAGCTTCACACGCAGTGGATCTGTCCTGGAAAGGATACCAATTACTCATAAATCACCTCCAATTGGTGTTATCCAGGAAAGGAGTCCCGTTTCTAGTCGCGATATCGAGAGCAGTTCAATCCCACAGCGCACATCCAGTAAAAAGCAAAAGTCTGGTTTACCAATAGTAGTTGGAACTGCAGCTGCTGTGGAAACTTCTGGCCCTCTTTATCGAAGCAAAAGCAATAAATTGAGAAAAGATCCACCGCCAGATCATTGGAGCCGACGCCAGAGTGGGACTGACAGGCAACCTGAGGACGACGTGCTACCTAGTCTTGCAGCGGGGCAACAAGCTCTGCCACTTCCTCGGAGAGCAACAGAACCCATTTCATCTAGAAATCTACCGGTTCGTGAACCAGAGTTTCGTGACGAGTCTCCGTTCGACTCCGAAGAAGAGACGAGGGGTATCTCCTTTAGGCGAGGATCCAAACGAAAGATGGAGCAATTGACTGGGCAGAATCAATCTTTAAAGCATTCGTCATCTGTCAAATACGATCGGAAAACAAGTTCTATCTCTTCAAAAGATCACACATATCCACCTGTAGCTGGTGATGGTCCCATTGATCAAGAGGAGCATCATCATCATCACGACCATCACAATCTTAGTGAAATTTTTCATCATCATCATAACTACGAGCCAGGGAAAGGATTATATGCTCCCTCGCAACGACTTACTGAGTGGAAGAAGGGCGAGAAAGCTTTGCTGGCAGGTGCTTTGTTAGATCTTGATGACGAAGCAAGTGAAAGTGACATCGGTCCGAAGGGGGCGTGGTGGGAATCTGGTCCCAGCAGGAAACGCTCTGTCAAACAGAAGAAGGCTGAAGCGTATGACGGGGAATATGATGACAATAATGGTACAGTACCTTTAGCTTTTGGTTCCATGGAAGACTGTGCCGGTTGCATTGCTGAGCAGCATCTATCATCTAAAACTCGCAGTTCTACTGGATTTGTTAAGTTACGACCAAAACACAAATCTGGTTATGCGAGCAAAGTGATTGCTGCGAACCAATCATCTGACAAGCAGAAATCCCCTTCTACCCCCCCTACTCCAGATCATTCGCTAACATGCGCAATGCGGGTCATCCGCGTTCGTCCTGATATAGCTCCTACTAGATTCAAACCACCTCTATTCCTAAAGTGCGGGCCACTACTACGTTACCATGGCATACGTACTGAAAAGACATCCAGTCGTTCAGTGGCTCGTGGTCCTTTACCAGAACGTGAAGTCTGGAGAGGAAGTGTCATGATTGTAACTCAGGACTCAAGTTCATCCTACGAACTTGCTCCAACACTAAGACTATTTTTGCAGCCTGTGGATTTGATGCCACCGCCGCCAGCACAAGTCGATGGTCAAGACCTAGCTCCAGAATATATTGACCCTATCGCAGGAATGACTAAGATTGGACGAGATGGTCGGACGCTCTACACTCGTCCTGTTGAGCATCTTCCAGAAGAGCAAGATCTCTCAAAGATCGAAACAGATGAAGGATTATTTGAGTCACATCGAAGCAATCTTGATGGAGGCGCAGACGCAAAACGGGCACGCAAGGTACAGCAATATGATGGAGAAAAGGCTGGGAAGTTTAAAGAAGTGCGAGGTTTTCGTTTGCATGCAGACAAGGGGTTCACTTTCTGGAGATTTAACATTGAAGTAGAGTTGCGCAGCAAGCAACAAAGGATTGCTTATCGGATCAATCGTGGCCCGGCTACCGGTTTTTGGGTTCCAGCTCGTGGGCAAGCGATGAATATAATGTTCTATAGCTGTAACGGCTTCACCATGGATGTTCACCCAAATGACTTTAGTGGACCCGATCCTTTGTGGAGAGATGTTCTGAATACCCATCAAACACAACCATTTCATGTCATGCTTGGAGGTGGTGATCAGCTGTACAACGATCATATGATGCAACGAACGACCCTCTTCAAGGAATGGCTCGATATCAAAAATCCTCTTCGTAAAGAGGGTCTACCTTTCACACCAGAGATGCAGGACGAAATGGAGCATTTCTATCTAGACAGCTATTGCATGTGGTTCTCCCAAGGTCTCTTTGGAGTTGCCAATTCACAAATTCCTATGATCAATATTTTTGATGATCACGATATTATCGATGGGTTTGGCTCGTATCCTGATAGTTATATGAAATGTCCGGTTATGTCTGGCTTAGGAAGCGTGGCGTTCAAGTACTATATGCTCTTTCAACAACAAAGTAGTATCGATGAAGGCGAAGATACCGAGCCTAGCTGGATTCTGGGAGCACAACCGGGACCATACATTCCTGAATTAAGTCGAAGTATCTTCACAGGTCTAGGCCGTGGAATTGCTTTCCTTGGTATAGATTGTCGCACCGAACGAATGAATGATGAAATTGTTACAGCTGAAACCTACACGAAGATTTTTGATCGACTTGAGAAGGATATCATTAAGGGTCAGACAAAGCATCTCATTGTTTTACTGGGGGTACCAATCGCTTATCCAAGAATGGTCTGGCTTGAAACTCTGTGAGTAAATTTCAGCGGTCTATTCTCATTTCTAACAGATTTATAGCCTCACTTCCAAGGTCATGACGCCTCTGAAGGCCATGGGCCGTGCTGGCTTGCTCGGAAAAAGTCTCATGAATCATTTTGATGGTGGGGTAGAAATTCTCGATGATCTCGATGATCATTGGACTGCAGCCCATCATAAGGAAGAGCGAAATTGGTTGATTCAAGAATTACAAGATTTGGCAGCTGAGAAGTCTGTTCGAATCACTATTCTAGGGTGTGTAAAACTATTCAAAATGCTTAGAGAGAAGGCTAACATGAGCAGTGGTGACGTCCATCTCGGTGCTATTGGCCAATTTTATTCAAATCCCAAATTAAAAATCCCTAAGGATCACGATTATCGTTACATGACAAACATCATATCTTCGGCAATTGTCAATGCACCACCACCGGATATGCTGGCTGACATTCTTAACAAACGTAACAAAGTACATCATTTTGATGCAGACACAGACGAGGACATGATTCCAATCTTCACTCATGATGTGGATGGCAAACCTAGAAACAATAAACGGCTACTCAACCGTCGAAATTGGTGCTCGATACGGGAGTATAATCCAGCTCTAACTCGTCCTAGTTCACCGGACGCCACTACTTCATATGATGGTAGTATATCACCGGTACCTAGACGCGGCCTATTGCGTCGCTTCACTACCAAAGGTCCTTCATATCGACCCGACGCACCGCCCTTATCAAATGCTTCATTCTTCAATAGACGCCCCTCATTCTCACGCCCGTCATTATCTTTGTCCCGTCGCAATTCCACTGAATCTGCAAGACCAGGTAGCCTGAAAAGAACACTATCTTTAACACGAAAGGATTTCACAGGACTTTTCCGACGAAACAGTAAACGTCGAGACTCGGGTGGTATCAATGGATACGGCTCAGACAGCGAAGATGATCTTTCCTACAACCCGAATCTTGATGGTCCAGCGACTATGCGTGGTGGGGCTGGCGACGAATATTATGCGTTTGAAAACGAAGCTCCTCGTGCCACTTCCTACTCTGAAAAACAAGCCGCAACTTCTGTCGCAGGAAGTCAACCACAAGAACCAGTTTTTAATAGGAACAAATTTCACCGTACTCCAACTGGTTTATCTGAGAAACAAATTCGAAAGGGTAATTACCAAAATATCAATTTGGAGGGTGGGTTGGATATTTGTTTGAATGTGGAAGTTAATCAGAAGGATCCAGCGGGTATCACTATGCCGTATAGACTTTTGGTTCCTGCGCTTTGGTATGAAGATGATATGGGTGATGAGGCTGCAAAGAGAAAGAGAGAATATGATTTGATTTTGTGGTTGAAGAAGAAGAGGGCGACCAAGGGACAAAGGGTGGATAATGGAAAGAGACTCGAGATGGCAGGGGACAGTGCGTAGAGGATGGTGATAGGGGTGAAATTGAGGCGAGTATGGAGAGGGAGGGGAGGTAGAAGGAAGATGAGCGATGAGGATTACGACGATACGAAAACTAATGGATGAACGATGAAGCGAGCGTGCATGCGAGCGAGCGAGCGAGCCAGAAAAAAACAAATATTACAATACCCCTCTTTTTGGCCGAAAAGTATTTACTATTTTGCTTGGTGTATCTTTTTACTCTTTTTTCCCCTTGACATTCTTCTAATGTTGTGTTACTTGGGATTATTGCTAGGATTGGTTTGGTGGGAGGGGAGTGGGATTATAAGCTGGGGATGAGAGGAATTATCAAAATAGTATGGTTTTGTGGATTGATGGATTGATGGAAAGAAAAATGGATGATTTGTTACAAGTGAGATGGACTTTTAGGTTCGATCGTTTAGGGGCCTGGAATGAGATGGGAACTTTTAGGTTCGTGGTTTTATAGATACCTAGGTATCTAGGTATACACAGAGAATGACATGCAAGTGAAGAGAAGTGGAGAATGTCTTCTTCTTTTTTGTGAATACAGCTGTGAGTTTTGTGATTGTGTTGTCGTAAGATCTGGCTGGGCCAGACTCTGCTACAGCTACATCATATTTCGTCCGTCCGTCACAAGACTTGTTTCAAGCAAAAGATGCGAGTTCAACACCTCTCGAACAGATGGATGGATGTTGGGGGAAATTGCTCTTTCCTTATTACTCCGCAATCGCAATCGCAACTCATACTATACTTTCTTTGTTACTGGTGTGCTATACTATTATTATTGTGTGATCATCCACACCCTGCGGACTAGAATGTATGCATGTGTATATAGATATGTGCTAACCACCCTTGGGTATACCCTACTGACCAAACGCCTCCATCTACTATTCCATGCCATGCCATGCCATGTCATTTAAAGCAAATATCCAATCTCACTCGTGAGATCAAGCCTATATACCGAATTCTTTATTCCCCATCATGACGAGAAACGCTAGCTTCCTAATCTCGCAATCATTGTGGTGTATTCTCCTCGCCAGGCGCCAAAACCTTAACGCTTCTTCTCCTTTCAACCACAGGACCACTACCAGCGCCTCCCCCACCAAAGCCCAATGCAACTCTCACACCCTCCACCGCCCGACTCTGACCCACCTCCCTGACATCCCTCCTAACGCTCTTTCCTCTATCCCACCTACCCATACCTGCAAGACCTGGCCCGGCAGTGCGTTCCTTAACCTCTCTCTCCAACTCCCTGGCCCTCCTCTCCTTCCTTTCCTCTACCAATTCGTCCCTCCACTTTCCCTCCAAGCAAGGATGCATACAGCCCTCCAACGGGCACATTCCTCCACTGAATCTGTCGCCCTGATCGCCATGCCATTCTCCCATACAAGCTGTATGACCACCGTGTCCACACCCACCACAATACCACCACGTCTGTGGCCCCTGACTATCCGGGACATCATCCCCATGCTGACAAACCGGACAAGCCATGATGGGATTGCGACAACGGGGACAGGACCATTCCGAGCCAGGGACGAGCGGGTCATTTTCAAGAGGTTTGTTACACTCTGTGCAGTAGAAACCGACACTGACTTGTTCCTGTGTAGACGCAAAAATCGAAGAGTAGAGCGGGACGCACAGGTTTCGGAGGAGAGTTGCTTCGTAGCAGAGTTGCATACTCATAAGTCGATGGTTGTATTGGCGGAGGATGGCTTCAGCATGGATTGGATCAATGACGTCAGGAGGAAGGAGACGTCGAAGGAGGAGGACCATTGCAGCTGCGTTCAAAGCGCCAGTTTGGGTTTCGAATTCGATAGCGCGCTGAACAAGAGTGGTGGGGTTTAGTGGAGGAATAACAAATTCGGTGTCATCATCGCTGGGCCAAGGAAGGAAATCCGTTTCGATGAGGTTTGGATCGGAAGAAACGTTTTCAGAGGCGGGTTCAATTGTCTTCGGTGTTGGAGGAACTTTGCGATGAGTTTGGACTGGCGAAGTAATCTTCGGGGCTGGAACTACAATTTTTGGCACTGCTTCAGATGTATTCTCAATGGATTCTTCGGATGGGCGAGAATTGAGACTCGATGTACCCTTGGAATGTCCAGCAACATTGCCTTCCCAACTAGAAACTCTCTCTCGCAAAGATTCATCTCTCCTCACACTATGAGCATCACTATCCGAACCCCCACCAAGGTATTTGGACTGGGAATCATTCGATGTTGAAAACATCTGAAAACTTTCCCCAGAATCATGACGAATGAGACCCATTCTCTGAGCGTAACTATTTTGCTCCGAATAGTCTAAACGAAGAGGCTGTTTCTTAGGCGGAACAAAATCGACGGCTGGTTTGAAAGCATCCATACCATAAAAGTCATAACCTTCTACACTTGATGTTGTCTGGTCAGAGGTAAAACTACCAGTCACTGGTACAGGTATCGGCTCACGAACTGTCGAGGTGACGGGTGGTGGAAGTACCAACGTGTCATTTCCTACCATTGGTGTATTTATCGCTTCCGACATTTCTGCAATAGAATCCATAACAGGGCGCACAAGTGGCGTTGTCACGTTCGAAGTGCTTTCAATCTCATCCGCAATGATTGATCTCACCGCGGGATGAAGGGCCACTTCATTCGAGGCAGCAGGGCGTTGATTCTTTCGGGGGGTCTTTTCATTTGACTCATCAAGTTCATCAACCTTCGTAGAACTATCGATACGTTTTGGTCCCGAATCTTTGCGCGAGAGATTCTGTAGTCTGTGCTGGCGATGAAACTCCGCACGTCTAACTAGTAAAAGATCCATCGTGAAACCAAGGAGTCTCCATGTTTGAGCCAGCCGATAGTATCTTGCGTACTCGGCACCTTTAGCAAAGTGTTCTATAGTTGTTGAAATGGTGAGATTCAAAGGAGTGCTATCGGCTGCCTCAATGGCGTTCTTCGTCAAATATTCCAAATAACATCTAGACATATATTGGTATTTCGCACGCTTTGGTGTCGAGGGAGCATGGCCAATAGCCATGACTTGTTGGGGCTTATAAACACCAGTAATTTGTACAGCGTCTTCTAGTCTCATTACTCTGCTGTCGGCCATTCCTGTTGGATTTGGTGGAGTAGTGCTCAGGTTCTGTGTCAGTCGTCCACTATGCTGTCCTCGATGATGCTTTCGTCTTCTTGGGCCTAAAAAACTGCCAACAACATCCTCCTCGGAGTCACTATGACTTATAGCAAAAGATGGAGCATTCGAGTGCTGCTGAGAGCTCGAAGATAACTCTGGAGAATTAATAGAAGGCCGAACGCGTTTAGGAGCTTGTCTCTCCTCCATTAACATCAATACATCACCTGTAGGAGAGAAAGAAAATGTTGATAAACTTCTACGATCGATAACTTTTGGTGAAAATGCGACATCTGTTTGCACAAAGTGACCGTCTTTATCAACGCTCCACAAAAGATCTCGAGTGCTCCAGAGTATGCCCGTGGGCGCGCTATTTGACACCTCAATTTCTTTGAATGGCATGGCAGACCTCGCGATATCCCATAGATGTACCGTCGAAAATTGGGCTCTATTGGCGCTGGTGTCATCATAAGAAACAGCAACTTGGGCAACTCTCTTCCCCTGACCGGTGGCTGTCCAACAAGCAGGTCTCCAACAGACGTTCGATATGGGCGCGGGTGTGGTGAAGGAATATCGAGGCCTTTGGCCCCTCTCCGACTTTGACATATCCCACACATGACATTGCTGATCTTTGCCTCCACTTATAATATGATCTCCATCCGGATGCCATGAAATTGAAAAGACAGCACTATTGTGAGCGGTTATCTTCATAATGGGAGCAGATGACTTCCTGAAGTCCCATTTCTGTAAGATCCCAGCATCCGTGGAGCAAGCAAACTCCATGCCATCCGTTGGCGACCATTTCACATCTCTGACAGCATCTGCGTTACATTTATAAGTAGCCACACTTCGACGGGTGTCACGCAAATCGAAACACTTGACCGATCCATCTTGACTGGCTGACAAAAACCAATTCCCCTTGAATGAATTGATCGCAAGTTTATGAACCTGTCGAGGGTGTTCCTGAATTCGCGCAAGCTCGAATCCTTCTCCTCCTGCACGATTGAGGTCATAGACCGTTATCCTTCCATTTCCACCTGCTGTAACTATCGTAGAGCTGAATTGCGTATGAGACCATCGAACGGCCCTAATATTAAGTTGGTCTGAGGTAGCTGCCGTACCATCATGCCCTGTGGGATATGCAGATATCGAGGTGCGAAGATCAATATCCTCTGTAATTTTCGACCCTTCTGTTTTGACGATCTTGAAGACTTTCGGTCCAGCTATAACGGCGCGCGAACCATCCGGGGCGCGACCAAGACATGAAAGTGGTGCGCCGGCTGAATAGACGGTACCCTGTGAAGCAGTCGGTCGGAGTTGAGGCGAGTCATTGTTGATGTCGGAAGCCTCGACAGTTGTAGCAGTTTGTCCAAGTAATTTCCTCATCATCTTTCCTTTGTTCATGTTTGCAGGTTATAAACGTATGTCCTCAAGGAGGCATCCTAAATTCGATACCGAGCAACATTTGAGTAGTGAATAAAATGACAGTATTACCCAGGTAGGAGGTAGGTATCCAGCATATTAGGTTCTTCTAAACCTTTTGGACCTTGAAATGGTGCTGAAACTGCCGACCCAAAAAGTTACTAGGCTCACCGCCCGAGGAATGTTACCAATTAACACAAACACAACCAAACACAACCAAACACAACAAGACACAACACCAAAACAATGCATCATCTTGAGCATCTTCCCGTATGTCAATTATTCCGTATATGCCCGTTTGGTATCTTTGTATCTTCGTATCGGCTTGAAAACTTTTTATCTTCTGGACACTACAGTAATTGTGTTACAACATTACGGTGCTTCCTTTCTCCAATTAAGATATACGCTTTGGCGACATCTCATGAAGCATCTCACAAAAGGGGGCTATTGCAGTCTCGATGATCAACGGCTAGCTATAAAAATATAATATGCCCATGTGCATTTTGTAGCCCGACAAATACTATCTTTGACTTCCTTTTTGACTCCTCTTTATTTTACAAGACCTTACTCATACATCACTTACAGTGTACTTCTACCTACCAAACCATTGGAGAATATGGTGGAGTCAAGATCAACTCGACATCATTTTGCGTACTCGCTACCTCGGAGTATTCTTGAATTCTCTCCAGTTCTTGTCTCCAATTTCCGACAATAAATTGAGCATCTAGATAGTCTTTGGGGGCTCCTCGTGCGGCCATCACATCCAGTTTGCTCCGCAACAAGTACAGAACATCTAAAGCTTTGAGAGCTATCTGATGTCCTGATGGACTGGGTACCACGAGAGTTTGTTGATGATTTCGTATATCTCGCGGAGTACCATTTGATCCTAGTTGATTTGTTAATACTCATTGCAAGATGAAATCTTATGAGATATTTACCGGGTGCAATTAACTCTACCTCGACGAGTCTTGTTTCTGAACATCCATCGTAATTTGGACCAGTCTTGACAAATATTTTCATTACATCTGCAACAAGTCGGGATTGAGGAATTACCAATCTATTAATGTCAGAGTAAGTTTGAAAGTCGAATGCTCATGGCAAGTTACCTGCTCTCTGGCTCAATAATTTGCCATATCTTCTTCATTGAAGTGTCTACCACTATATCAATATTATTTGTATCACGAGCGCTGCCACAGCACTTAAGGGCAAATGCTCCCATTAAAGCATAATCGATATTCCCCCTTTCTAACAGCCGAATAACAAACTCAGCTGCTGAGATGAGATTATTAATGTGCGGACTGAGTTCCAGCTCATCGTCCGAGTCGTAGTCGACTATATTATATCTCGAAGCCATTTGCGAGTTTTATGTCGAAGGATTCAAAGGATTTTGAGAAGAAAAAAGGCTATCAGACAAAGATTGAGATGACTCCCCAAGCGATGAAATTTGACTGGAGGGAATAGCTGGTAAATGTGTCAAACATCCGCCATTTCATGCATTCGATTTGATGGAGGTCGGGAAGAGATCCTTCTTATCATATAATCCAACAAGATCTGAATCTGAGTCAATCGCAAGTTTAAGGTAGGGCAGATGACCTTTTTTTCTTCGGCTTTGAAGGAGGTCAAACTTCGACAAAGCTTCCTCGCTTTGCTATCAGGCAGGTAGGCCATGAGGTTCTCTAATTGCCTAGTAAAACTGCCCCTTCTAGACAAGAACCTCGATAATGTTTTGCCTCTATGTATTTTCTGCAGCCTTTCACCTGTATTCCATGCGTTGTATATCACCGCTTTAGTTTGTTTTGCAAAACGTGCAATCATTACTCACTTCCTGCTCAAATATGTAGCAATGATCAAATCGTCGGCACAGTTATTACTGTTCTTGATGAATGCAAAATACTTTGATATCATTGTAAATCACTTTTTACTCAACCGAAAATCGTAGGATCAACTCGTCGTTGGAGTGGTCGTGGCTACCAACAGCCACACCAAGCGGTCCACCAAGATTACGCGCGATCCTACTACATATCCAACCACAGCCACAACATTGTCAAACTTGTCATCTTCTGTTGGTTTCAACCCGACCAAAGCTTTTGCCTGTGTAGAATTGTGTTAATGAATGGGTTTAAATGAGTGTCGCGTGCGTTTCAGCATTCAAAAACGCCATCTTCTGCTGGCCCGCCAATCTTGAGCCCCAAATAAAGAAGGCATCTTTTACAGGTCTGGATTCTAGACCTTACGCATGATTCTAGTGTGGTCATTACAAAATTCTGTAGTAACCACAAACCCATATAATGGTTATGACCAAGGCCGGAGTCCTATCTTTTCACCAAAGAGATAATGCAAGCATTCCCCCAACTCCCCTTCCAGCATCTTTCATGCTTCCCTGTTCCAACTTTGATCGAAAATCGAGGATGTTTACTTCAGGTTGATTTACTCTTGTTTCATTGATGAGTGAGAAATACTTTCCGTGCCACGTTTATTTATGTTTTCATACAAAAGTCGACCCCCGGATACAAATTTCAGAGACAGGTAAATGTGGCTGGCTCGGCCTGCTGTCAAAGTGTTGTGGAAAAGTCACCAGAAGAAAAAGCGCCGAAAGAAGAACAATCCAAATTATTCTGCTTCGAAGAAACAACATAAAAGCAGTCGAGATCGTTGGTGGTCTGGCAAGGGACAAGATAGCCCTCGAGATCAAAGATGGTGGTCAGAGGCAGGGGCAAAGATAACTTCAGAAGAAAAGGCGATGGAGATGAGAAGTCTAGCAGACAAAGCATCGAGATTAAGGAGACAAGATGCAGAATTTGCCAAGGAAAAGGAACGATTTGAGGAAAAAGCCTACGTCGCCAAAAATGACCAGAGAGAAGCTGCAAAGGTGTTAATAGAGAAGCATAGGGATGTGAAAAGAGATGAATCTGAGTTGCGGAGGCGTGAATCGGAATTAAGAAGAGAGAAATCTCAGTTGAGAGCAAAATATGCAGCAATTCGAGCTAAGGAAGAGAAAGTCGAAGATGAAAAGGCGTCAATTCGAGAAGAGAAGAGAAACCTGCGACTTGCAAGGGAAAGATTGATGGAGTATAGTGAAAGAGTAAGAGAAACAATCGATAGGGCGGTGGATTATGTAGGTGGGTACCACGAAGAAGACGAGAAGTTGCCGACGAAACAACTGTGGATTCGACGAATGTTGTTCATGGTTACTGGCTTTCCTATTATTGGTTTATATTGTAAGTCCAAGTGAACCACTTTATCAATCAGCATACGAGAGAGATTGCTAATAAAAGTGCAGTCTTCGTTTTGACGGGATGCATGGCCAATAACGTGATCTCCCGAGCCTTCTTCACCATCAACGTATTTAGCGGCGCATCTGACGAGTTTATCGTCCCGAATTTTCGAGTTGGCTATTTTGGTACGTATACGCTCTACACACATACATATCTGTCTCAACTCATACTAACCCTACTCCAGGAGTCTGCGCTATCATTCCTAGCACAGGTAAAGACGTCTGCACACCGAATTTTCCCTACGGCCGAACCGCCAGCAGCGCCGCCGCCATCGTGCAAGCGGCGCTCTTCAAAGGAAGCACCGACACGTCTACCGCGGAAAACATCGAGCTCGCCGTCGGCATTCAACAAAAACTTCTCCCTCTAATCCTCGTACCTTTCTTTGCTTTCAGCATCGGCGTCCTCTGGACGATCTGGACTCTCCCAACCTCCAAAATGGCATCCGCGATATTGCAGTGGAGCGCGGGTAACATGATGAGTGCAGCGGGCAGTATCAGTACTGCTGGGGGAGCCATCCAGTTTGTCACGAGTAGGAACACGGGACAGCAGATTAGTAGGGGGGTGCCGTTGCAGATTGGTCAGTATGTGATTGCGTTGGGGTGTTTGGGGTTTGCGGCTATGGTGGGGTATATTGATAAGAGGGGGAGGAGGAAGGCGCACGAGGGATTCAAAATGCAGTTTCAGGTGGAGGGGTTTAAAGCGTAATAAAGGGGTTGGGTGAATGGTGAATGGTGGAGGAATTTCAGGGGTTGTGGTAATGAGTCTGGGTTCTTGTAAGTTAATTGTTGGATATTCTTTTTATGGATGGAGGAGGAGCACTGCATTTTTTTTTGTTCTTTTTCTTTCTTTCGATGGAGGAGATTTTGTATTTGTATTTGTATTTGTATTCGCATTCGATGAGTAGTCTAGTTTGATTGGTTTCTTTCGAGTTTGCTTTTGCTTGCATCTTTAGTCCGTATTCCTGTTACAAATTGCATCGGGTAGATTACCTCTCGATACCTAGGTACCTACAAACATTAATTTTCGCACATCTTCTCTACTTATTACTCATGTGTATAATCCAAGTCTTCCCATACATCTCTCTCACTCGATCTCATAGGTAAGCATTTACAGCACTGCGCTTCTTACCACACACCCAATTTCTCTACTGGTAGGTGTTCTTCAGAGTTCAAGAGAGTTCAAATCTTGAGGTGGATATTGAAGATATGTAGTAGAAATATACATGTTCACTTATTTACTCTGAGTAATATATATATATATATATATGTGTGTGTGTGTGTGTGTGTGTGTGTGTGTGTGTGAAGGTATCGAAGGAAGAACAGAGGAAGCTGGAATTTAGGTAAATAGGTGTTAAGATATGTAGGTAGGTACCTAGCTAAGGATAGTGATATCTGGGGATAGAGATCTGGTTTGATAATTTGTATGATGTGATGTTTATAAGTATATGATGGATTGTAGGAAAAATTCTCCTTCTTTGAATGATACATACGTGTTGACTCGATGATGATAGCTGGTAGATGAATCACAAACCAAGTATGTGAAGACAAAGATCTAGTGATGTACTCTAAGGGGAGAGGAATTAGGTGTAGATAGGTATCTACCTATCTATTCTATTCGTATGAATGAATGAATGACTTGATAAGTGACGAGAAGGACGCAGGTGAATCATATACGATATGCAACAAACAGGATTTGCTCCTTTTCGAATCGTACATTTACATCTACTCCAGCACGCAGGACGAAAAGGTAAATGCTGATATTCAACTGAAAATATACGTAGGCAGGTAGCTAGGTATTCAGATGGACGAGTATATATTAGAGAAAGGAAAACAATAAAGTAAGTATCTATACCTAAGTACCTAGGTAGTACCTACTCCATTCATACACCAAGATCTCAAGTGAATTGTTTATGATATGCAACAAGACTTATAGATTTGCTGAGTTGCTCCAGGGCTATCAATAATATCTACTGACGTATGCATCGAGTCACCAAGGTGAATACTAAGATATGCAACGGAAAATCTCAGGATGGTATTTGAGAAAGAACGATGAGTTGGGGAATAGTGAGATGTGCAACATATTGAGGATGTAGAGAGAAAGGGTGAATGTGATATATATGTATGGTGGCGAGAAAGAAAGGTATGTACCTATGTAGAAGCAAGGAAGGAAGGAAGGTGCAGGCATGATGTGAGGTACTAGGGAACATCTTTCTTGGAGAGATCTCTGATGTGATGTGATGTATCTAGTATGTACCTGCATCTAAGATGTCAAGTGTAAAGTAAATCGAAGATGAAGAAGATGAAGAAGATGAAGGAGAAGAAGAAGAAGAGAAGAAGAAGAAGATGATGATGAAGACGAAAAAGATAGCATATACCTACCTATCAAAGTATCACATATTTGATATCATATACCAACTCGAAGATACTACCTAGTAGGTACCTACACAACCAACATAGTAATCGCCGATTCATTCTCATAGGCAGGCAGGTAGGTATACATCACATAAACCAACAAATCGATCAATCAAACCATCAGAATCGTAGCATCAATCAATTCGATCCTCATTTCCCCTTGAAACAATTCACAATTCAGAATTCATCACGATTCACGATGAATCGATGTCGATGTCGATGTCGATGTCGATGTCGATGTCAAAATCAAAACCATCAAACTCCCAAATCATAAACCCCGTGACCCCTTCCCTTCCCTCAATTCCATCACCATCACCATCACCATCACCATTACCCGATCCACCCACAAGCGAACAAACCAAACAAACAAACAAAGCATCGAAAAAGCATCGACCCATCGAATCGAATCGAATCGATCCATCACTCCTTCCCTCCTTCCTTCCTTCCCTCCATCTCCCCCTAAATCTCGATGTTCGTCCACATCCGGAATCCGAGGTCGTTACACAAAAATCCATTAATAGGGAATAGGCATCATCAGTCATTAGTCATCAATCAGGCCAGCCAGGCATCAACGATTCAAAAAGTCCCACCTACCTGACCTAATAATGATCCCATCTTCCCAACCACCAGCGTCATCGGCATCTCATCCATCTCATCGCATCTCATCTCATTTCATCGCATCGCATCTCAACCATCATCATCCATCCATCCACCCATCCCTCCTTCCCTCCTTCCCTCCCTCCAATCCTCATCATATCGTACGATGAAATGAATACCCGGTCCAAGAAAACCCTCAATGATGCCGTCACGATGCAATCCATCCCCCTCATCAGCAAATAATTATTTTACATCGACGATGTCAGACATGCAACAAAACTAATTTCCCCGTCCCCCTATTCCCCTATTCCCAGATTTCTTCAAATGTGCCTTGGAAAAACATAGTAGGTACCTACCCCAATTCAAAACCCAAACTTCAATCGAAATTCACAAATTCACAAAAAGAATCCCACAATCTCATCTCCAGCCCATGAATTCAAAATCGCGATGCCGATAGGTTACTGACTAAGCAATCATCTCTCTCCCCCAATAAACACGTCGCGATCCTCGCTTCCTTTTCTCCGGGGCATTTTCGTCAAAGAGGATCTGAAAGAAATGCGCTGCATCGAGAATTCGTCGGGTGGGTTTGGCTGAATACATACATCCCTTATGTGTCTACCCTATGTATCGATGTATATACGTACCCTCCCATCCATCGAAAAGGATATCATGACCAAAACAAGATCGCGATGCATCTTTTCCAGACATGCAACAAATGCCACACCCGGTGAAAAAATCAAGGACGACCATTTCTTTTGTTGCATGTCTGTATTTCTATCATCGCGATGGGAGATTGGTTTGATGTCTGGCTTCTTTTTTTACTTACTTACTTACTTGCTTGCTTACTATCTATCTATTTACACAAATACCTACCTACTATCTCATGAATCAAATCAATGAATATGGGGATTCAAGCATTATTAGACATTGAGACTAATCATTTACCTGAGACGTTGGAATTAGTTCGGTTCAATAGGTACGTACGTACGTACATCTGTATAGACAGAAGGCTTGTCTCAGCCTTATGAGTGTACGACATACAATACAGTACATGCATGTATTGCAGATGATATACTTATAGTGAAGATGATATACTCACTCGATTGCACAGACGAGTATTATATAACGATTCACACATTACCACTATGGTGATGCGGTCCAAACTGTGCACATTTGTAGAATCTCAAAGTCAATCTCTTCATCATGTAGAATTTGAATGTATTTGTTGACCATCACAGAAAGATGATTCGGATTTGGATACCGCTTGATTGGGCTCGAGGGGAAAAGGGGTTGAGCATTAACATGACAGACTAATACGCTTTACACGTATCATATCGACATGCTTATTCCTCCCTAACCAGGGCTATCTATAAAACCACTTTGTGCATCCATTTACGTTATTTATTGACATAGCATATCTGGAAATTCTCATCTAGTATCGATCAAAGACAAATCACCTACTTCCATTCCAAGTAAGTACCCATTTGACCAGTAGCCCTACCCACCTGTTGCGCAATGCGATATCCATAGCATCTATACATACCACTGATCGTTCTACGAACACAAGGCATGATAGATTGTAGATCCCAAGTAAGTGTTGACGAGTCTCCCATCTCGCATCCCGCCTATACCCGGAGCATACTGAAAGATGTAGAACCACGTCGAGACCGAGCAAAAGATCTCTCTCTACCCGGGTACTTTACACAAACATTTGCTTCGCAAGAGCCCGGTCTGTGCTTGCGATAAGCAACAAAACAACATGGCGAAGGCTTTTCACCATGTGACTTATCTGTGTAGATGGATGTTTCGCCAAAGCATGCCAACGCAACCAGTGCATCGAAAAAGGTGTTGGAAGCATCGGAAGAACACGAGGGTGTGAAGAAGACACAAGACGACAAACCTCTTCACCTCTGTACAAACAACTCTTCAACAATGCGGTCTGTGCTCTAGACATGCAACAAAACCACATGGCAACAATATGGGTAGTATGTGATCCGTGCTTGACATATGCAACCATGATCTCGAGTCTTACTCAGCTACTGGGAGAGGAAGGGATATTGAATAAATTGGGAGTGTCTTAATAGAGCGTCGAGGTAATCCTTGGTGCATGAAGAGAGGCACCAGAGGCCGCGCATCAGGGAAGGTAAATGACTTGAAGCAAGAGATGTTGGCATTCAAAAATTGAACAGTACTCGAATGAATTTTGTAAGGGTGCAATAAACACAAAGAAAGTACTTTCACTATGTGATTGGGTGACGAGTGTAATGAAACTTCAAATAGAGAGACTTATCGTCTAGCTAGTGAGGCTGATGAGATGCTGTAGATAATCGGAAAATAGATAATGTGCGCAAAGGCCAATGGCAAGAAGCAAGGTCTGTAAAGAAAATGCAGAATTGTTCAGATGGGGCAGATGAACATACTTATATGTTTACACATTTCCACTACCCACGACTCCTCCCCTCAAAATTTCCTTTTCTTTTTAGCTGGCGCCTTACTTTTTGCCTCCAATTCCTTTTTTAAAATCGCTCTCTTCTTATCAGCCCGTTCCTCAGAAGTCTCCCTTGGTGGTGGGGTTTTTTCTCTTGATTTCTCCATCTCCTCTGTCGTTAGTGCTCTTCCCCTTCCTCTGTTCACTTCGTCAGGGATATCTTCTTCCTGACTAGCGCCCTCGATAGCGGTCTTCTTCCCACCGATCGTACCCAGCTTCTTCTTTGGTGATGTTGAACTCTGAGAGTCGATGTCATGTATTGATGCTGTCTCCTTTTTCTTTCCGCCGATTTTGCCGAGCATGCCTCTTTTAGGTCGCACCTTAATAGCCTCAGGTTCAACAATTGGCTCCGGCTCCGGCTCCGACTCCGGTTCTGGAGAAGCTTTCTTTCCGCCTATCTTCCCAAGCTTGCCTTTCTGCTTAGCTGGCGAAGCTTTCGGACTCTGCTGTCGTTTTGATGGTGGAGAGGATGGGGCTTCATCATCCGTGGTATCATTATCATTATCATTATTATCAATTGCATTCGTAGAGTGTAAACTGTCTGGTATAGGCTCTTCATCTTCAGTGGTATCATCTGCGTTTTCACTTGGAGGAGTTGGTGTTGGAACTTTGCGTTTTGTACCCAGTTTAACAAGGGGTTTCACTCTTGGCGGACTTGGGCTTAGAGTTCGATCGGGACTTGGTGCGCGAGCTTGCGAAATAGACAGATTATCTGGTACTCTTGAACGCTGGGATGGAGCATCAAGATCATCATCATCATCATCATCTGTAGAATCATCCATTGAAACATCAGGCTTCGCCCTAGTCCTCGAGAGGTGAGGTGGTGTTGATTGTACTTGAAAATCATCCTCGTGTTGTGTATGTTCTTGTTGAGTACTTCTCCATGATGAACCCGTTGCGTTTGTCGCAAGCTTACTCCCTAACGTACCGACCGTCTTGCCCTGCATATGCTCCCACCAATTGTGTTTCCGATCCTCTTTGCCGAGACTATCCGCCTTGGAGATATTTGGACTTATATCATTGCCACCAAAGACATTGTTCAATAACTCCCACTTATCGTCCGGTTTATCAGATCCCGACTTCTGCTTCCAAGCTTCTACGTCGAAAATCTTCAATCCTTGGATCTTCTCACTCGCCTTCTTCCTGTCAATTTTCTTTCCAGGCCTTCCTGCGACCTGATGGAATATTGTACCAAGGTCGGTCCCTTGATTTTCCAAAGTATCCACCAATTTCTGTATAACCGCATCTTTCTCCTCAAGCAGCTCCACTAGCTCCTTGACTTCTTTTTTCTTTTCTTGTAGCGCGATTAAACTCGGAAGAAGCAACTTGTCGACGGTTTCTTTTGGCGTTTGTAAGGCCAATTCGTAACGCCATTCTAAGTCCTTCAATCCACCAGGTAGTTGAATCGTAACATGGAGAAGCAGACTTGGTGAGATATCTCCAATTTCCGGCCCGACTTGCAGAGACAGACTGGTATCATTTCCTCCTGCAAGACCAAGTCCGATCTTTTCGAGAAATATCGATAACTGGTCTTCATCCTCACTTGGATCGATACTGGTATTCCCTTCTCTGCTTCGTTCGATTATCGCATCGCGATCTACACTTTCGACCCACGTATTCGTTAAATCGGTCAGTTGAACTAGGTATGAATCATTGTTGAATTTGGATGAGATGAGAAAGGGGGGTGGTTGTGCGCCAGCAGAGTTAGAAAGTTTGAGAGGTCTCCAGGCGGCCATTTTCGCAGTTGTATATTTAGATTGTCGTAAAGCTACAAGTTAGCTCTTCAAATGACGCGACACAGTCGCAATTGAAAAAGAATCATCGATGCTACAGCAAGGAAGTTAATGTATTAACATAAAGTGTTTTTGGCCGGTGTTTTGACATAAAACGTCTTGAAGAGTGTGAAAGGTGATGCTGCCTTGAGAGTTGAAATCCAAGTTCTTAGCTACCAGGCAATATTCACGAGTGATTTACGCCGGGAATAACTCTGAGAAATTGTTCTTATTCCCAGACGGTGGAACTTTTTCAATTTGGCGCTAAATTCATGGAGGTGGTTGTAAATTGGACATTGTTTTTTCAGATATGCAACAAATCGATTTGATGGTCTTAATCACGTGCCCAGTCACCGCTTCCCGGCAGAAAGTTAGTCATTGAATCCAATCAATCTTCAAGGTTAATTCTGCAACTCAAGTACATGTACGAGCATTATAACCACATTTGTTCCGCTTTCAACACAGCACAGAAACCCCTTCTCTATTGTTTCGAGCGCAGCGAGGTCTGGGGGTTTGGGGGCTTGCCCCCATTTGAAGAAAGATTGAAGAAGAAGTGTATTTATTATATATCTGATAATGGATATCTAACAGATTCAATTCCCCCCCCCCTTTTATGTCAAATTCTTCTTAGAAGCAAAGTTGCATATGTTGGAGCATGCAAAGCATTCCGTGGACAATTGAATCTAAGGAGCAGCACTTCTTTGTTTCAATCGCAACATCATCGCATCTGCCCCCCTCAGCATTATTTACCGGCTCTATTGAAAAGTATTTCGATAGAATCTGTTTCAGTTACATCATGGGCGAAAGCCATTTTTTTTATTTCGTTGAGATCGAAAAATCTGTGATGAGAAAGTGGCATGATTTTGCTATCTCATGTCATGATAACATAACACAGACTATGTGCATAAACGGCATGATTGCACCATATAATGTTGCATACGACCATACAGTCCAGTGGTATACCACCGCGCGCTTCGTTAGAATGATATGAAAGCCATGCAAATAACTTTGAGGTAGCAGTCCTTCTCGTACTACGCCTGGCGAACAACACAAAGTGAACAAGACAGGATTGCAAAGATATAGTCGAGTCGCCAGTGGATCACGAGTGTATGCTCTGGAAATGCTGACACTAGTCTTTGGGGTATAAGCTGATTGACTAAGGTATATATAGAGGATACTTGCATGAACCCAACGGATTATCAGAGCGGGAATTTGCTGTTGATGGTTACCCACGTACTCCAAACTGTTTTACCCCCTATAATATCTCTTCCTTTATATTCGTATATTCTATCAATTTTGTTTACGCTTACAGCCTCATAACATGCAAATCGTATTTTTTGTTTCATATACCAACTTCCCGTCCATCACAGCATACAAAATTCCTATTGTTCCAACCTCACTAGGTCAATGCCCCTCTTTCTCCTTCCTTACACTCTTCCACTCCAATCCACAGGCAGCCAGAAACCCCCCAATAGCACAAGCCGTCGAAACCCAAAATGTCGCCCTCAACCCCTCCGCATACGCCTCCAATACCTTCTCCAATTGTCCCTCCTGCCCCCATGTTTCTAATAGCGCCCTAATCTCCGTAACTCCACTATCCAAGAATGCCCTCGCATTTAACCCCGGGACCCTTTTCTCAATCCCCTCTACCAACTTATTTTGAAACAGCGTCTGCGAAACCGGCACAAAGACCGCTCCACCCAGCGTCATAAACAACGAGACACAGGATATAGCCACCGGAATCCGCTTGTTTGACATCACTGTCTGCGCGACAATAATCCCGCTCTCGAACCCAACGCCCACACCCAGACCGGTAATAACCTGAAACCCTGCGTTCCGCGCATACGACGTAGTGACCGACAGCGTGGTTAGTAGCCCAGAGCCAATGGCAAATAACACCATGCAGATGAGCATGATTGGGGTGTAGTACCCGAGTGCGGAGATCGCAGCCCCGGTTCCGGTGGAACTGACCGTGCATGCGAGGAGTAAGGGGAGCATTTGGATCCCGGCGTGCAGGGCCGAGGAGCCTTTGACGCTTTGGAAATATATGGGTAGGTAGTAGGAGAGACTGAAGAAACCAGCACCGAAAAATGCGGAGAATGCGAATGCGCATACAGTATTCCGGTTTTGGAAGAGGTATGGAGGGAGGGTTCCGGCCTCGCCGAGCCGGATTTGCGTGCATATGAATAGGAGGGTGAGAATAGCTGAGGTGACGAAGAGGCCGATAATGTGGCCGCTGTTCCAAGGGTAAGTAGAGCCACCCCATTGGAGAGGGAGGAGGAGACAGATTATGGCAGGAATGAGGAGGGAGGCACCGAGGAGGTCGAGCTTTAAGATGCGTTGTTTGAGGGTAAGAGAGGAGGGATTATTAGGGCGGTTGATGTGAAGGATGAGAGATATTACAGCGACACAGAAGGCTCCGATGGGGAGGCTATGGCGGGGAGGGGGAGTTAGCTGGCGTTTGTTGAGGTTCTGGACTTGGGGTAGGGGGTATTGATATTCTTACTTGATGTAGAAGCACCAGCGCCAGGAAAGCTTATCGCTGTTTGAGAAGGTCAGTGGGTCTATAGATGCTATGTCTGTAAATGGGAAACTTGCGTAAAGACGCCGCCGAGCAATGGTCCGGCGACTGATGCTATTCCCCACATACTACTAATTATACCCATTGCCAGTGGCCTCTTACGCAGCGGTACTTCTTAAGTTAGTTCTGTTTGTCTCGATGAAATCATTTGTATGGGTAGTGAGTTGAAGTAAGCTAGAACTTACAACTATACACAACAATGATAATCGAACCCGTAAACAGACCTCCTACTCCCGCTCCAGCAATAGCTCGGCCAACGATCAGCATATTGCTGCTCCTTGCCGTAGCGCATATTAAGGAGCTGCGTATTGATCTGTTAGTACGTGGGAGTGATAGTGGAAGTGGTGACTACTTACCCAATCTCAAAGATGGCAATGGCAGTCAAGAAGGTATATTTGATCTGTCGAATTGTTAGCCAACAGCCGGTTCTTTATTTGAGAAATGCAGTGCGCACGCACGCTGAAGATAGAGTATATCCTCCCAAAACTAGGCTGCAACGCCGCTTTCGTAAGTAAGTAGCTTGATCCATACCTACAGACATCAGCAATCACTCATACATATAAACCTTAAAACATTAATCCGATGCCTAACACACAACATCAATACACTCACCAACCAATATCTCCCGTGCTTTTGAAATGGTCCGTAATCTTCGGAATAGCAGTAGAAATAATCGTCTGATCGAGCGCCACCAAGAATACAGCCAAACACAGCGCCAGTATAATAGAGACGAGTTTCAGACCCTCGGGATACTGCGGCTCGCTACTTACGCTGACTGGTTGTTCAGTCGCGGCTGGAGTAGAGTCTTTGGGAATCATGCTCACAACGGGTTCTTTTTGGGAAAGCGAGTTGCGCGCCTCGGGCGTGTCTATCTTTCCTCTGTCTGATGAACAGGTAAAATCAGTAGCAATGGTCACATCCTCATCTGAGGCTTTCACGTCGCCCATTTCCATATCTTGCATCATTGCTATGGGCACTCGCTCCACAGTCAAATTTAGCAGATCTAGCAGAGAATAATAATCCTTTCCTTGGGCTCGTTGCACTAGCACGTAAGTCTACCGCACAATATCTAGTAGTTCCTTATGACAATATTATTCAACACATTATCACACATTTCTCGCGTACAAAAGAAATCAACATCCCAATTCGTAAGAATTCTCCTAGTCCATCTAATCTCTACCCTCTATCTTCCAGACCAATAAGAATCGTCTGATAAGCTTGGCATCTATCACATGAGCGAGCCCCTCGCTAGTATATCTTGTACCAATAGCAGACGGTACACGATAAGGAGTTAGATTGTCTATACGTAGGAGAAAAAACAGGCCGGAATTGACCACTATGCAATGGTACGTGCACCCTCACCAAAACAACGCGTAGAGAGAAGTATTACGCATTGGTCAATTTCGGCCTGTTTTTTCTCCTACGTTGTCTCGTATCGTGAAGTCACGAGGCGAGCTGTGCCGCTCGTGTGCACCCGCGGCGCTAGTAGGATCCCTGTTCTATGGGCCGAATGATTGCTTGCGAGATATCCCTGTCGTCTAATAGTCGGCTCTCACAAACGGCCTCCTAGTTCCTACTAGGAGGCCGTTTGTGAGAGCCGACTATTAACCTAAATTGATCGACTGCGCGAGACACATCTGTTCCGAATGGGCCGGATGGAATGCACGCACGTAAGCATCATCATCGTACCACTTTCTTGAACTCGCTTCTGTAGAAGTACTTTGTATCGTTGTTGTTCATAGGTTCACTGGTGGTTGCGTATATTAGTAAATGCATGCCCCTCAACGTATCTAAACAAGCGGCAATATCAGACAAGTGATGAGAGACCTTCCTATTTGATGTTGAATCTTTTCCGGCCGGTGGACAGTGACAAGAGACCTTCCTTTCCAGGCATAGAGTCTTGTTAATTATTGAATGGTAGCAATAAGCTATCCTTTCACCATCCCAATTGGAATCTGATAATCGCGCTTGAGAGCAATTATGAATATGAGATGCATCCTCAAAGGGATATAAGTTAAAGAAAAATACAATTGACAAGTTAGCTAGTTAACAGTTGAATCTTCTCCACCTGTCAGTATATCATTTCGAAGCTTTGTTACAGGATCTCCGCTTTCCCAACCAGGGATAGGCACCGGGTCGGGCTGGCCCGGGTACGCCGTAGATTCATTCCAGATACTTTAATGGATATTCGTGTTGTTATATTACGTTAGGTAGGATAAATATTCTACGAAACACTATTGAGTATGAGTCTGTCTCTAGGTATGATTATATGATCTAAGGATTATAAATAAATTGTAAATGAATTTTAAAGAATTGTTTTGGTTTATTATTACTTTTCTAACGATGTAGTTTTTTCTAAATTAAAACAAAAGGAAAAAATATTAATTAAAGGAGTAGATAATTTAAGATAAAGTAATTAATTAAAAAGAAACTATTTGTTATATGATAGTACTAGTTCTAATCTATACTCTATTCTACTATCCTGTTCTACTATATATATAATAGTAAGATAAAACTTTTAGTTTCATCTTCTAATCTTTTAGATTATTAAGATCAGGATTAATTTTTTAGATATATTATTTTTTTAAATCTTCTTTTAAATTAAACAGATTCTATTATGAATATATCTATTAAATCTATATAGAATTTATATTATAGAGTCTAAGGAATATAAAAACAAATTACTTTTCATTTTTAAAATATGAAAATAATTAAACTATTTAGGGGGTATGAGAATAATTTATCGTATTATCTAAATAAGCATTTAAATCGTCTAATTTAGATATAAAAGATAAATATAATCCTTATAATTATATTATAAGTAAATCTAGTCTATAATCTCTATTTCTATCTATTTTCTTTTTAATAGAATTAAGTAATATAGCTATTCTTCGTAATAATCTTTAAATTTAAAAGAAATCTAGTATATAAATATATATAATTAAATAATAAGTATAGATCTACTACGTTTACTTCTATAAATCTATAATAGTATATAATAGTAATAAATCAATCAGTCGTTCTATAGTATAAAGACTTTCTATTTTTCTTTTTAGAACTATGAAAATTCTATATTTTATAATTATATATAAACTACTATTAGTCCGATATAGACCTATAGGTTCGATATCTTTCATTATATAGAGCTCTATGTTAGATTGATTCGTAATAATATATATGAAACTATAGAGAAAAATTAGTGGAGTATTTAAATAATCTTTAAGTTCTTATTATCTTATTTTTAAACTTTACTTTATAAGATTACTAGGGTTTTAAAGTTTATATAGTATTCAAGTTGACTTCTCGACTTAAAGTCTTATTAATATATATTACTAGATATGTAATTAATAAAAGTAGTCAGAATTATTACTAGTAATTGCGAATCAAATTTAAGATTGTAATTAAGCAATATAGTCTTTTCAACGTGATTTAATAGTTACTATAAAGGTAAAACTGACTTATATCTATTATCTACCCTCTTTTCATTTCAACTAAACCTATTAATTCTCTTATTCCCGGAAACTTTTCGCTATAATTAATAGGATTCGAATGCTTGGCTCTTTAGAAAAATACCCCGGGATTTATATCAAACAGGGCTAACAAATAGTCGAAAGCTTATTGTGAACTTCTATTGAAAGATCTTTCTGGCTTTCACTCCGACAGTCCCCGCTTCTTATGAATTACGTTCAAGACCTTGATAACATCACTACATCAATTTCACTCACCTCAAATCAAAGTATCCAGTTAGCTCTATTAAAACCCATACAGGAATATGTCAACAACTTTATTTAAATTTTTGGTAATGACAGTCGACTGATATCTAGGCCTCTAAGATACAGAAAATGATTGTGATTTCTCCACCACTCCTTCATCGACAGAGTAAACCCAAGCCGAATTTCGACCATAGTACCGCGTGTATATACTTATGGAGCAGCACAAGAACCCCCAGCAGTATCAACACAGATGACACGTCCGTTGCCACAATCGGTGCAATAAGCATGCTCAGAGCTGTAGCAATTACCCTCTCCAATTGTGCACTCGCCTCCAACGTGAACACAATTGGTGCACGATCGTGCGTTCAATGCGCGTGGCTAAAAACACATTAGTCACAGCGTCTGAAGTTAAGAAGTTGGTTTTGAGACTTACAACTTCACGGACCAAGGTCACATTATCCTCGCGGATGACTTCGATGCCCAAGAGGCTTGGGGCCGGAGTAGCCATGGCGCCGAAGACGGCAAAGGCAGCGATGAGGATGGTGGTCTGCATGATGAATGACTTGAAGTTTCGAAGTGCTGAATGATTGAGTTTAGATGTGGTGGTTGTGGTTGATGATGATGTGGTTTTGAGGATTGGCAGGAAAAGACTGGCCTTTTATATTCATGGCAGGTCTACAAGAGAGCAGGCCATGTTCTTTTTCTGGCAAGGATAATAAATCTCTGTCGCCAAATATATAAATTTCAAAGTATCTTACTTGACAATGATGCCAGCTTACTGGCTGTTGTTCCAATCATCGAACATAGCATCACATACCCCATCTTGTGAAGGATAACAATCCTCTATTTGGAAGAACTTGCATGATGCAAGTTGCATCACATATTATACTCCCTGGAAAACCGGTTATCTACTAACATCTCTTCTGATCGTCAAGCCCGTATGCTCGCGCGTATACTTTCACTGCTTGTTTTTCCAATCATCAATTCTTTCACTTCGTGTTCGTCTCGCATAGCATCAGTTATTTCTCTATTTGGAGATACTTGTATAATAGAGTACATCATTAGTATTTCATCAATAGATCTATACTCTGTCAAGAAAGCTACAATAGTTTGTCGATTGATTAATTCTCCTTGTACAGTATTTTATGTAGAGAGAACAGGGAGTACTCAATATAGATAATGGATTGCTATTCGAAAAGCTACATCACTTTACTCATTGTTCTCTCAACTATCAATCCTAATGGATTGAAGAGTGTTATTATCTACCTAGAAGTGTTTACATCACAGTCTCGTAGAGGGTATTGAGTGAAAACTTATGTTTTGACTGAACGATTCAACTTCCGCTCTACGACCATAATGTCTCTCGGGAAGACCAGTTACTAACACTACGAATAGTTTATATAAATTAGATCTATACTATATTAACTCACTTTATCAAAAACCAATACTAGGAACTATAATTACGAATTTTTAACAAATTTAATTATCAGAATATATAGACAATATACCCAAGCAAAGTATATAAATATCTCCTTTTTATAAAAAAAAATATATATATATAAATAGTTTCGTATTTCAATTCATGTTATATATTTTATATAAACTTTTATAATCTCTTATCTAATCGAATTCGATTCCTTCTCTTTAAGTAATTCTAATACTGATATACATTAAATTAATATTAGAATTATCGATGTTAAAACCTACTAAAGACTATTTCTTACGTTTTATAATCTATAGTCACCGGGTACAGATAGCGGCCGATCACCTAAATCACACCAAAATTCATTATTAAAACTAATAAGCTTTAATATAATTGAATATGAATTGTAATATATATTTATATAATCTTATTTATTTTTAATAATAGATTTCAGAAAAATTAACAATTTATTTTTGGAATTTTTATTGATCATATTATATAGATTTGAAATATAATAGTTTAGGAATTTTAGAATTTACTAGTAAAATAAGCGAAATCTAAAGAACTTTTATAAGTTATTATTTTAATAGTAGATTTATAATTGAATAAATTATATTAGAATTCAAAAAATGAAAATTATAAGTTGTTCACAATGAAGGAGCAGGCCAGTGGAATGCATGTAATATTGACTATGTAGATTAATTATACTAAGGTAAAATCTAACTATGAAGTGGAAGTGATATATGCACAGTAGCGTAGTGCACATACCACAACTTCCAACACTCCCCCAGAAAGCTTACTCTCTTAACTTCTATAATTAGTTTTGAAGCCCTAGCATATTCTTGAATTTCTCAAATATTACCCTTGCACATAGTTTTGTTAATCCATCTGCAGCCATATCGTTTGTATTGACATAGCTGGTATTGATTAGGCATTTTTCTATAAGATCCCGAATAAAGTGATGATATATGTCAATATGCTTTGATTGTTTGTATAGATAAGGGTTCTTGGTTAATGCTAGCACTCCTTGATTATCTCCTAGTATTTGAACTTCACCGTTGCTCCCGATATACTGTAGTCGCTCTAAGTCTCTCAAAAGTTGAACTATCTATTGCCCTTATTTAGTGAACATTGCTATAGAAATGTATTTAGTTTTTGTACTAGATATAGCTATAAATGTCTGCTTCTTGCTTGCCTATAAGATTAGTCCACCATAGAACATTATTACTCCACCAGAAATGCTTTTTCGATTGGTTTTATCGTTTGCCCAATCTGCATCGGTATATACTTTGATGGTTTGTTGTGGGAGGTTATATTTTTTACAAATATCTGATTGAACTCCCCCAGGCTCAAAATGTAATTTCTGGTTGATAGTTGATTTTAAATATCTCATAAGGTTTTTGAATACAACACTGTGATATTTAGCAGGATTCGACATAGCTTGTACTAATCTCCCGAGACTAAATGCAATATCTGATCTAATATAAACCATAAAGTAGATCACACTATCAATTGCTTGTTGGTATTCGTTCACATCAATAAGCTCATCATCTGGAAACATCGATCGCAATTGGTTGTAATCCGAGATTGGTATCTTCCTTGGAGTGTATTGACTATGGGAGATCCCAAAACGGATAAGCATTGCATCCAGATATTCTTCTTGATCTATAGTTAATACTCTCTCAGATCTGTTACGAATGATACAAACTCCTAAGATCTTACTAATCTCCCTCAGGTCTTTGGTGTTGAATCGAGCCGAAAGGTTGTTATAAAATCATTTAATATCCCGTTTTTGTGTAGTAGCGATAACAATATTATCTATATAAACTAGGAGAAGCAATTGTTGCGGATGATTGGTGTATAAATATGGATTTGCAAGACTTTGTACGAAACCCATCTTGATTAACTCTTCCTTTAGAAGAAGACTTCAATCTCTGCCGGCTTGCTTTAACCCATAAAGGCTTCGAAGTGTATGTAGAATACGACCTCAACGAACTTGGATACCTTGAGGGGGTGCTAAATAGATTTCTTCTTTTAAGTGTGACTTGGTGAATGCATTTTTGATATCGAAATAAGAACATTCAAGATCTTCTTTCACAACGATTGCAAGGAAAAGGCGAAGAGTATCGAGGCGAACTGTAGGAGTGAAGATTTCGTTGTAATCTTTGTTTAAAACTTGATTGAATCCTTTAGCTATCAATCTAGCCTTGAATCGCTTTACTTTATTATCCTTTGTTTTGATAGTAAATATCTATTTTGTTGAAACTAGATTATTTCCTTATAATAAAATAAATTCTTCCCAAGTACCATTCTTGATCAATGAGTCTATTTCTTCTTGAATTGCAGCTTGTCAGTCTTTTATATACTTCTTGTTTGCTATTACATCTTTGTATATATTTGATATCTTGATTCTGAGTATTTCTGTTGTTGGCAAAGCAGTTTCAATCTCTATTAATATATTATCCAAAAAAATCAAGATCTTAAAAACAATTCCATTATTCGTTTTCCTCTCAAATTAGTGAATATTTGAGATCGCAATTATAGCATACTCAATTAATTCTAATACTGATTCATTTAAAAAGACAAGCAAAAATCAGATAATCTTAAAGATATATCCTTCTATATTATCGTTATCATCTCTCTTTCTTTTCCTAAAATCATATTTTGAATTTGATAATATAGAAATAGGTGTAAATACAGATATTATAGATAATAAAGTTGTAATCAAATTCAATAGTATAGAATCAAGAGTTGAAGTAATCTCAGATAAGGTAATCTCTATTTCTTTATCGCTCTCTTCTGGTTTTAGTAAATCATCCATCATTTATCGAATATTTCCATATTCGTCTTTATCAAAACATAGTATTCCAGTCTTTATTTGTTCTGATATTAACAAACATACTTTTATCAAATCTGTAATTATTTCATTTGGTAATATTGGTAAATCGACCAAAATAAATGATAATTCAAGAATATTCTTGAATCTATTACAAAGCTTGCAATCAGATTCTATATTTTTGGTACCTTACGATCTGGCTATACAGTTTCTAAGTTTCAAATCCATATCTCCTCCTTTGTAGCTTTTATCAATTATAATACAATAAAAACAATAAATATAACCTAATTCTAATAAATAAACCTTTATATACTTGATAATGTCTTTTGAATATCCTAGGAATATCCCAACCCTTGCTGTATTACAAAATTTATCATACCTTTATCCTATTAGAATAGTTTTGGAATTGATATAAGCATAACATCAACTCCCCTAGATCTTGTATATATCGATATCTGGTAATGTGCCTGTAAATGCTTCAAACAGGCTTCGATTGATTCCACTTGTATCTAAACCAATACTAATACAGTTTCGAATGTATATATTATATTCAACAACTTTATTCCAAAACTTTAATAATAAGTAAGCTTTTTTTAACATTACTCTCATATTAATTTCTATAATATATATATTACATTCAACTGGGCTGTTTTAATAAGACAATATAATCACTATAATCTCTAATCACATATCAGTTTTCTATTCCCGGACAGCTTGAAAAAGCTTTAATACATTATTGGTTCTAATAACAATTATAATTACTCCTGTAACAAATTCAATTTCCTACTTTCAGGCTTTCAGTAAGGATATTATATTACTTTTTTATTTTAATAAGATAATTCAATTTATTCTTATAACACTATCAATAATGAGGAGAAAATATCTATACCCTCAAATAATCTTTGGAAAAGAATCAGTAACATCGAAATAAATCAAATCTAACCTTTTAGATTTTCATATACTTAATTGGCTTAGAATTCTATTAATCATCTTTATAAAAACATATATTTTACAAACATCCAAAATTAAAAAAACCTTAATTGGTTTCTAGAATATAATAACTTTATATAGATTCCTGATTTTATTAAAACCAAAATGATTAAATTATTTATACCAAAAAAAATATTTTTTCTTTTCTATTATAATCAATTCTTTAATTTCCCCTTTTATTCTATCAATCACTTTTATAAAGAATATAAAGAATACAGAATCCTTATATTCTAATTTTATATACAAAATAATATATATCCCATTTTTTATTATAGCTTTAATAATCTTATTATTCTTATCGTTT